GGACAGTTACAAACAATACTGTACACAGGGACAGTTACAAACAATACTGTACACAGGGACAGTTCAAACAATACTGTACACAGGGACAGTTACAAACAATACTGTACACAGGGACAGTTTCGCTGCAGTTTAATTTTCGCCTTTTTCACCTTCTGAAATTAGAGTTGATTGATCATTAAAGTGAACATTAGTCAACACCCTAATTTACATACATTGTAGTCATTAATTGTGAAAGGTGAAATTAACACTGTGCTAAGGTGTTGTTTTCAGGTGAAGGGCAAAAGTAAGACTGGGGGCAAATATCTCGGTATGCAGTAAAGCCAAAAATATATACTTTATACTTTGGTTTGGCTTGGCAAAAATTTTGATGTGTGTTTTTTGCTCCTTTTTGCAGTACTGACTCCATTGGCCCCTGCGTTTGTCTACCAACAGTATTTGGAATCTAAAAGGGAATACCTAATTATTTCTCAACCAGACAGTTGGGACAGGTTGGGGTCAAGAAAATGAGGCTCATTAAAAGACAGGCTTGGAATAGTGACAGGTTTTGTTTTGATATAGATCAGGCCTCCATTAGAAGTGTAAACAATCCCTTTGCAAAGCTCAGACTTTTTATCTCGGACTGATCATGTATATATGTTAATGTTAATTGATTATCTTTGGTTTTGTCTTGTTTTGGGAAGCAGTGGAGAAAAGGAGACGCCTATCAATAGGTGTATCGTCACTTGTTCAAGCAAAACTTCCTACGTTTTTTTATCCCCCAACATTAATTATAACCTATGAAAATTTGTATGTACATTGTTTGCTGTGCATAATGGAAAATTTTCAGAGGTAACTTGCAAATTTAATTAGAAAGATTCATAATAATTTTTGGTGTAATCATGTAATTGTGTAATTCAGGCTTCTGATATATCATTCCACTAGAAATGATATACCATTGATTGATTTGTGCGCCAGCTTTGATTTCTGCACCAGTTTGATTTAAAACAAATTGGACATTGATTTTTTGGTCAGAAATGTAAGATTTGGTCAGCAAATGATATTCACATAAGGAAAGAATCTTTGTACTAGAACTTACACCTGATTTAGGCTTTGTTTCCATCCACTCTACTCATAGAAGTTATAGGAAAAGAAATTAAGGATGAAGGGTTGACTTTTTAAAATTCTGTTAGCTCGTCGTGTATTTGCGAGCAGGTTGTCCAGCATACATTTCTATTAGTGTAAAACTTTCTCTGAAGTTTGAAAACAAAGTGCTAACCTGGGTATGGGACTCACAAAAGTTCTGTGCTACTTATTACATTTTAAGAACTCTTAAATGTAGATGCTTCACCTGATAATATCATAAACGTACAATCAGGACCATATTGAGTTTTTGTACCCTAGTTTCATTGTGTGTGTAATAATAACTGTATAATTGTACAACCAAGCTCTGTTATAGTGATTTCTTCATGTGATGCTAATCTCAGAATTGGCATAGGTCTAAAAATAATAAAAAAATCCAAATCTAGATTTAGCAGTACAGATGGATGCCAAAGGCAGGTTTTTTTATTACCGTATAACAAGTTATCTAAGTGGGCTTCAATTTTTGCGATTTTTACCCAAAATTTGAAAATTAAATTTACAGCGATTATAATTTTGCAATCTAGACATGTGAAGAAACTAAATTTTTGGGAGTGTTAGCATAGAGACGGGACACCCAGAATAGCAATGGGAGTGTTAGCATAGAGACGGGACACTCAGCATAGAAATGGGAGTGTTAGCATGGAGACGGGACACTCCNCTGCTGTATACGCCAGTGAATACCTAGTTACAGTGGTTGAAATACGTCTGCTGTATACGCCAGTGAATACAAAGTTACAGTGGTAGAAATAGGTCTACTGTATACGTCAGTAAATACCTAGTTACAGTGGTAGAAATAGGTCTACTGTATACGTCAGTAAATCTGCTGTATACGCCAGTGAGTACCTAGTTACAGTGGTAGAAATACGTTTGCTGTATATGTCAGTGAATACCTAGTTACAGTGGTAGAAATACGTCTGCTGTATACGCTAGTGAATACCTAGTTACAATGGTGGAAATATATCTCCTGTATACGGCAGTGAGTACCTAGTTATNCGCCAGTGAATACCTAGTTACAGTGGTAGAAATAGGTCTACTGTAAACGTCAGTGAATACA